TATTATTTTCTTTATGATTCTTGTGATTATATAAAGTAGAGTTTTCATAAATTGTGATCAACTATAGTTTTTAGTATTGCAATATGAATTTTCATGAAGACTGATCTTGGTAAAATCCTTAATGGGATTAAAGTTCATTATTACATATAGCTTTTTCTAGCATAAGTATTAAAGAGAAGACACTTCCAAAAAATAATGTTAATTGATAAAAAATAAAGATGACAAGAATTTGTTGGCAATATCTCATATAACATGCTTCTTATTCATAAGAACTTTTAAAGATAAACGATGCGCATGGTTGGTACAAGGAAAGGAATAATACCTAAGTAAGTGAGAGAGTATTGATGGAAAAAAGAAAAAAAAAAATGATTTGAATCATTGAGAAAAGAATAAATTTCTTTCCGTTTAACATATGTTCTTTAATAGTGGTTTGTTTATCTTTATATTTTGTTACTGAGATGGCCTTCTTAAGAATAATAAAACTATTAAAGAAAAACAATTATAATATTTATCTTTTATATGAAATTTTTAGTCATTGTATGTTGTAGAGAGAAAATTTATGGCTAAGATAAGATATAAATAGAATCTATTGAAAAATAATGGATTTATATATTTAATGAAGATTGGAATATAAAGTTTGAGTTCTTTTTACTTTCTTTACAAAAAAATATTCCTTTGATTTGATACCCTTAAATGAGTTCTTGATTCAATAGGTAGATTATTTGATCTCGAATAATGTCATTTTTTTGTTTAGTTCAAGGTGAATTTTACTCGCTCTCGAATAAAGTTGATTTTGGATAATATATTTTATTTGAAGGGGATTCGTTTGATCTCAAAATAAAATTGTTTCCTTGGCAAAAATAATTTGTTAAAGAGACATTCAAATACTTGTTTTTTTTTTTTCAATTGTTGAATATTTTAGATGTTTTAATGGAGAATCTTGATTTTATAGATAGTGTCTAAATTTTGTTAAAACTATTACAATTGACGTTGGATATTCTTTGACTTCTTGAAGACTTCATTGTAGATTGAAAGAACACCAAGAAAGAGGTCTATTCTTCCTCCAAAAAGAAGAAATCGAAGAAGACACTTGCTCATGCTATCGGGAAGACAACTTTGGGGAGATAAAGGTCTCGAAAAGGAGGAGGTGCCCTCTTGCTTTTGCTTTTGGAAACTTTATGTTGTGTCTTTTACAAGCTTCTCCAAGTTGTTCTTTCAAATATTGATGGATGACCTAGAGGCAGCAGTTGCTAGAGTTTATGTTAAGACACCCTTGAATACATATGGTGTCAGCACGTGTTTATTTCTTTTAAGCCTCGATGATAATTAATTAAAACACGATCATATAAAAAAAAGATTAAATTTATCATTTTTTTCGGCCTAAACTACTAATTTAGTAGAAGTTCAGTATATAGTAAAAATTAATTAATTTAGTTAATTTATTAGAGATTAATATGATACAATTAGTAAAATCAATTGATTGATAATACCCTTAAACATTTTATTAATAAATTATTTTTATATATCTAATTATCTATAATTAATTCCCTCAAATATTATATCATC